CTAGTAGCGATGCCCTTTGCTCCTAGTAGCATCCTTGTTCCTAGTAGTACGGCCAGGAGCCCCGTTCGTAGCGTTCTTGCTCCGCTCGTAGCGATGCCAGGAGCCCCTAGCAGCGTCCTTGTTCCTACCGCACATGTACCAATCCTTTTGGGGAAAGCAATGCTTTTGATGGTGATGAGGTTGTATGGAGTGTGGGCCCGCTCGAGCGGGGAGCCAATACAGAAATGAACATATATAGAACAACGGAGTGCCCTTCACGTTGATCCTGGTGCATCAGGCACAAAGACCACGGCATTTGGTAGCGCTAGACTGTTTGCTCCCACTTGGCTGTTTCATCCATTGGCAGGGGCAGTGCGAGCCCTCAGCCATCTTGAGCAGTTTGAGTCTTTGCAAGTTGTGATGAGGCTGTTTAGAGTACAGGCGTGCGGATGCACATTTTACAGGATTTGTTTGGTTCTTGGAACTTGGAATTCCGATGGCAGAATATCACAGAACAGCACACAGGTGTTCAGAAGGCACACATCCAAAGGTACAATGGCCTCCATGACACTTGAAACAAACGGAGGTGGGAGATGAGAGGCTCAAGGTCCGCAAGTTCATTGGAGCAAAGCCGCAAAAACGCAGTCTTTGTGAACATGGAACCCTGTGTTCAGTGACTGAATTGGACAGTGCACTTGTGAGACTTAGGTCGCAATACCTCATCACCCTTCAAATGCATGTGTAAGTGAGAGACAAAATGCATTTGGAGTTTGGACAAGGATTCCATTCAAGTCACTGTCCCGTGCACCCTAGTGTTGGATGCTTTTGCAAAGCTTGGAGCAACTTGTGTTGGACAAGGCCGTTTCCAGCATGCTCTTCTTTTGTCCTTGATCTCCTTCTGGGAGATGGACCGTGGCGTCCGTGTGCATGGCTTGCTGGGCCATTCACGTTGTGCCAAGCTCTGCACGGGTTTGATGGCAGCACACTTCTTCTGGCAAGGCTGGGTCATGTCGGCTTACGCTAGGGAAGAATCATTGGAGGAATTTTGGTCTCGTGCTTCAGCTTCATGCCAGTTAGCTTCATGAAGAGATCTTGTATCGCACCCAAATGGAGTCAGGGGCACAGACAACGAAGATCATGGATCGCTGCTTCGAGCTAGTTACTAGCTGCTAGTATTGCACTCGCTTCACACATGGAACACACTTCAAAGCAGCTTCGCAGTCTTCCACCACAAAAGACCCGGAGCAAAACGCCGTTATGGATGGCAGAAGTTGATCTACGGCTGAAAGGAAGCACAGTATCCAAAATTATGCCGCAGACAAGACTTTCTGTGAGGTTTGAGGGAACTCCTAGAAGAAAGACCTGGCAAGGCAATAGAGAGCGCAAGTGAGACATCCTGCCACACATCAAACGCCACCATAGATCTGCGCCACTTCCAACTGCGTGAAACGGAGGGTTGACTCGTAAAGTCTGCTCATCCCAAGCATGATTTTGTTGACAGAAGGTTCACGCAAGATATCCAGTCAGGGCCGGTCGTTAGACACCGCCCAAGCTCTGTAAAGTGTGTCAGATGGACACCGCAACACATGAAAGGAACTTTGTTGACTCTTCTGTGGGAGAAGGTTGAGGTACGACCAAGGCCAAAAATGAATGGTCAAAGCATGCCCAAAAGCAGAGCGCAGGGCACCGACAAAACTTGCAAAGACCAAGGTAGTCACAGGGTGGACGTTGGATAGAACACCTGCCTGAAACCTGCATAACTGATCAAAGCCGACCGATTCTAGGCTATGTCCTTAGGCTAGGATACAAGTTTTTGTCCGGCAATCATGTATATAATGAACGGCGTATCATGGAACACAAAGTTCCGGCAGCGGGAACAGCACGGGTTGTGCAAAAAATCATTCCTTTCAACATGCTTGAGTGGCTTTAGTGCCGTTTCCGAGAATCGTGCGAAATAGTTCCGTGGTTCTTAAGAAAAGGCTTTTGCCGTTTAGATTTTGCAGAGCTGAATTAGTGTGCCATCAGCACATTGCTGGCCACTCAGAGCCAGTGAACGCTGACGAGGTTCGAAACCGTGTCGGCTAATTGAATCAGAACTCCGTGCGATCGCTTTGAATGTGTTTGGCGCTGCCCTCCATCTTGCAAAGCCCCTTCTTCAGAGTGGAACGTCCAGCACTGAATGTGCAAGTGTGGATTTGATCTAGAGTATTCATTCAGCATTTCCATGAGATACGTTGTGCCAAGCTTTGCTCATCAATGCATCGTTTTGCAAAGCTGCTTTCTCCGAGCTCTGCTTTGCTTTGTTTAGCGTCCTTTTCGTTTCCTTTAGTTACTGGGTCCGATCCCAATTCTTTTGCTGTCTCAGGTGCTGATTCCCGCTGTTGGGTTGCCTTGCTTGCGCAATTGGATTCATTTCGGCCCCTCCCACACTAAAACTCGACTGGATTTGTCAGAGTCCAAAAAAGCCTTTGTTTGTTTGAGCGCATGAAAAGGAACTTTTCATCACACTGGGTCATCAAACTCCAGAGGAGCAACAGAGAACTTGCACCAAACTCTCCTGGAGCATACGACAAACCTCGACAGACGGTTGTAGCAGTTTGGCTTATCCAAAGTGAACATGGCTCGTGAAGCCTACCATTGTTGGCTGCTGTCATTACTTTCTAACTTCAGAGTATTGAGTCGTCTATCAAGTGTCACTGACCGGATAGGGAGATCACACAATATACGCAATAAACACCATAAACCATAGATACGTTATCTACTATGCCAGAACATTTTTTTTGCCAGGGTATGCCTACTGTTGTGTGGGACTGTGAAGCGGAGCATTTGCAGATGCCTCTGCAAACAGGAAGCAACACGCACACACACACACACAGAGACACAAGACATGTGTGATGTGCCAAGCAACTTGAATGATCCAATTTGGCAACATTTGGTAGCAGCAGTGTTGCGTAGTGGTGTGTGCTCAGACTCATGTTGTCTTGAGCATTCTGCAGACATTGATGTTCTCGTTCTACTGGAGCCCGTATGGAGTGTGGTTTTCTTGTGCAGGTGTGGGTGGCGGTGGCGTCACTCTGAAGTGGTTGCACCGTTGCTTCTCGGTCGTTGCACCCATGCCGGGCCACCCAGATACTCACCAATGAATGGTTTGCGAAATTTCCTGTACAAGGGCTCAGTTGAGGACACCCCCCTCAGCAGGCACGGCCTGAAGCCGCTTAAGCCTTAAACACCAAGAACACAAGCCTCAGGAGCCTCAGGAGCATTTGCCGAGATTGCATGACGTACACAAGATTATATATTCACACTCTGGTCCACAGCGGTTGCCACCGCGGAACTTTTGACGATAAAGGCCAATGCTGCCAATGCTTGCTTTGGCTGACGGAAGATTTGGAAGTCTTGTTTTGTACTGCTTCTCCTGCGCAGCGTTCAATCTTTGAATACTTTGAGGCAGATGTTTCAAAGATGGTACCGAACCTACTACAAACGGGGCAGGAACAAAAAGCGTTTGCTCATGCTTGAAAGAGGTAGGAACCCGAGAACTCTGGATGTCTGTTGTGATGGGCAGAAGGAGCCACCATCTGCATTGAAATGCTTGCGGAGTCCTGATATGCTAGGAGAATGCATGTGAAATTGATGCTCCGCACATTGTGCAGGCTTTGCAAGCATCAGATCCTTTGGCTAGATTCTGCCACATACGGAGAGCATGCGCGTGAAAGACTTGGTGGCCGAAAGACTTTCTGAACGCACCCTCGGATTTCGCCGGGTTCACTTGAGCTTTAGCTGCGAGCAGAGTTTGCCCATATGAGCATGACCGGATTCAGGAGAGCTTTCTGAGTGCGTAATTTTACTTGGATGAAGCTTCCCTGCCTTGTGCATGTTCGCATTAGTGCTACATTCAACTCCCAGGGGTAAATCAAGCATCACTATCTCGCACACAGGGAACAAGGTTTTGGCGGTGGAGAAAACCCTTGAGTCGACTGTTCATTGAATATTCTTTACTGACCTGGGCTGAGTTCCACACCGTCACTACCAAGCTATTTGCGTGTTGCCGTCCTCATTCGATGCTCCCGTCCAGACTTTGCAGGCACGCCATCATGCTGGATTTTGAGTTGTGAAACACTGATAGACGTGAGGTAGGGAAGGTTCAGTGGTCAGTTTGAAGAGTTGGGGGGGCTCAATTTGCAAGTGCGTTTAATAAATGGTCAGTTAAAGGAACATCTACTGCCAGGCACCTTTTTTCAAGGGGAAGCAGTGATTCCACTGTGAATGTGGTAGATAAAGTATGATAAAGTTCATGCGGCGCAGTAGGCTGCTAGACTGGTTCGAGAGGGAACACTCGAATCATGCCAAAGCACAACGATAAACTACAGTAACTACAGTAACTACACTACTTGCATCAAAAAGGAGCATACAACAGAAGAAAGATGAGGTTGATGAGGTCACATCCAACATGTTGGCTGAGTGATACAAATGACACGATTAGGTCACATGACACGATGACCTCGTCAGCCAAGTCACTTTTATGTCATTGGTCAGTGCTGGTTGGCGAGGCAGGTGTCCTCCGCCCGCCGTGATATGCATCGGGATTGGGAATGGTGTATGCCAAACTTCATTCTCAACAAGGTAATTCCTGGTAAGCGCCAATCATTGGCTTGTGCTGATAATGTCGCTGCCCTTTACACACACACACACCGCCCATCGCTCCTACTGATTGATATTTGGTGCATAACTTGGGCTGACGAGCTTCTGTTCTGGACGTTGCGATGGAAGCCTTGTTACTAAGAAAAAAGAGAAGTCACAACAATGTATCCGTTTGTAAATCTGCGGAAAGACTCTCGGCAGCCAGATGTTTGTTCCAGCCAGTCATCGACCGACCCGTGCTGATCACGTCTCTGCCCCTTGTGCACACACTGCCCATCGCTCCTATTGAGTGAGAGATTCAGTGCATCATTCGGGCTGGAAGACTGTGCTTTTGGACGTTATGTTGGAAACCTTGTGACGAAAAGGGAGAAGTCGCAACAATGTGTCCAGCTGGAAGACTGTGGAAAGGATCATCAGCGCCCATATGTTTGTTCTACTTGAAGTACTGCTGCGAGGGACTCTTCACGACTTGCACCAGTGGCAACACGAAGGGGTTTCGCAGACCGGACACCAAAAACACAACATTGTTTGATTGGCGCCAGAGAATTCACAGTCTGCCTGGTCAGCTTGAAAGGTTGGTGGACAAAAGAGCATGGCGCTGGGATTTCTTCATGAAAGCGGCTCGATTCAAAGGACTTTTCCTCCTGCTTGCAAAAAACCTTCTTTCCAAGTTGACAACAGCATCTTGTAAATCTCATGCATGTAGCATTACACCATTGAAGCTTCAGTTGTGCAGCCTCAAGCAAGACGGAGGCTTCATATTGTTGGTCAGTGAAGGTGTCAAGACAGGGATTGGCCAATGAGGTGGTGGGTGGGCCTTTCAAGCAAGCTTTGATCATGCAGTTCCCTAACCGCGGTTTTTCTGTAAAGTCTGTAAAGTAAACAGAGAGCAGCGAGCCGCACGGATTTTGAAGTTTTCAGAAACGCTCAAAGGACTTTTTCTTTTGCTTGCGGAAAACCTTCTTTCCAAAGTCGACAGCAGCGACTTGTGAATGCCATGCATGTCACATGAAAGGATTAAAACTTCGGTTGTGCAGCTTCAGTTGCTTGGGCAGCGGCTTGCCGCACAAATTAGAATACTTCGGTTCGCGTGGCCAGCTTGAAAGGCGGAGGGCTCCTGACTGTGGGGGCCCAAAAGTGGCCGCAAGTGAAGGTGTTAAGTGTCAAGACAGGGATTGGTCCTTGAGGTGTTGGATGCAGCGTGGGCTTTGTGTTGCTGTTTCATCATGGGATGCTACTAGTAATTGAAATGAAGGGTTCATTCAAGTGCTCCAGGTTCGATCCAAGCAAACGGTCAGATAGGCGACTTAAGTGGTGAACTCCCAGTCAGCACATCCTTGCCATTAAGCAGCTTGCCTCATGAATCTTGCATTTGCGCACGCCAAATGAGCATAAGCGAGCGCTGCCACAGACGCGCACGCGTGAATGCTCACATGCCATTAGAGTTCTTGCTCTGATTCGTTTTCGCGGAGAACCTATGGCCTGCTAAAGTGCTAAGCACGTTGGATGGTTTGAACAGACATTTCCTAAACAGGATGAAAAAGAGCAGTTTCAAGAAGTGTGAAGCTGTAGACATGACTGACCTCTGTGTGTAGCACAAGGGTCCAAGTCCAAGGCCAATCTTAATCGTTTAAGAGACACACAGACTGCGCATTTGCACCAACGTCGGTCACATGCCAGTCCAAGCTTCAGCTTCTTTGTAACCTGCAAGGTCCCAACCTGCAAGGTCCCACCAAGCTTCAGCCAGACGCCATTCATTCTGGAATCTTGTGATCTCGTGCGTTCCTTGCTGAAGCGATCTTGTTCGACTGCAATGACTTCTTTGAGTCAATTGTGTAGGGCCGAACTGTGCAAGGTGAGGTGCGGCTCAACAGATATATGTGCTGAACCAGGCGCCGCAGACACGCCCCTTGTCCTCTCACACCCAGAAGACCCAGATAGGTGAAGCGATTCTCTCTTTGGGAGCATGGCGCGAATCCCATCAAATTTGTTCCTATGCTTTTGTCAACTTTACATCGCAGTTTCAGGAAGATGATTTTTCCATGCCGGAAGAGCAGCGCTCTGTCCAGTGGACTTTGTAGCCAGTTTCTGGCTTGACTTGTTGTCGTACTTGCCTTCAAGTCGCTCTTCGCTACTGGAGGCCGGGAGCATTCACGGTTGGGAATGCCGGTGCAACCCATGGCCCAAAGCCAAAATCACAAGACATCAAAAATCAGTCGTGGAGGGAGGTTCAAAATCAGCTGTGGGTAGTCAAAGCTTGCTGTCCAATGTGCAAAGAGGCTAGCCTGAGATACCTGGAATCCTTACCTCCAATACTCTGAGTCCCACTTTGTACATTGACACAATTACAGCGTGATGTGTCGTGATATTTTCTCCAAGCCTCTAGCCACATGGAACAAAGAACGCCAAATTAATTCTTCAGGGCGCACACTGAGTCTGAGCGATTCCAGGCTTGCCCCTCTTGAGAGGATCACTGCGAAGGCACGAGCAGCTCGTGACGTACCGATGTTTGTGACATATCAGATGTGTTTGTTGCATTTTATTGAACACAAATGTGTCCAAAGCATTTTGGGTTCACATTTAGGATGCTGGAGAGTTTTGGGTTCAAGGAAGCGATCATGAAGCTCTTTATCTTCTTTAGTTCTGTGTATTCAGTGGCGGCCAAGGGATGGCCCGTGGGCAAAGTTGGTTCCGTTCCGGCATCATTTGATTGCAAGATGAGGAAGCTGGCCTATGCCTATGGCAAACAGCTGTTGCCACGACATGGGACCTTTGAGAGTTTGTATTATGCCCTAGATTTGAGCAACCCAGATTGTCATGAGGTTCTCAAGTCTGATGACATGTTCCCAGGTGAAGGCCGCTTTCAGGTGCCCACGCCGAGGTTTCGTGATGCGGTCTTTGTCGCTGTGGAGGGTGCTCCAAGCGGCACAGGAACCGTGGAGGAGCCAATGGCTGGGCTCCAGGAAGCCTTGGACGCTGCGGCGGAGCGAGGGGCGAGTCATGTGGTGCTGCGAGGCGGGCGGTATCACTTGAAGGAAACACTGCAGCTGACTCCCAAGCACTCCAAAATCACCATCAAAGCTTATCCTGGAGAAGAGGCTGAGATCTCGGGTGGGAAGAAACTAAAGGCCAAGTGGCATCCATACAATATCTCTGGAGCCAACATTTGGGCCACGGAGGTGTCCGAGGTTCATGATGTGCCAGCTCTTCAGCTCAACGGCATCCGTGCCACACGAGCGCGATACCCAAACATGCCCGACGGCATTGAAGCATCGTGTGGCTATGGCTGCATGATTCCAGGTGGACAGGCCAACTGGACACCCCCGGATTTTGAGAAGTTTGGCAAGACCAAGTACTTCACGGACCAAACGCCGGCACATTATCGGAACACCACCAAGGGCTGGTTCAATGAATACATGATTGGTGTTGGGGGACTTTGCAGTGTCTATGATCCGCCTGTTTCTTACTGGTGCTCCGAGCACCCTAGCGGGGGTGGAGCTTTTGCTTTCAGAACTCCCTCCGGTGTGGCATACAAGTTTCCACATGGGCCTTACAAACATGGTGAGGATGCCAGGTTCTTCGTTTGGAGAGATGGACGCTGGGCCAATTGGATGTTCGATGTGGCTCACTATGATCCGCAGACGGAGAATTTCACCTTTGGTGCTGGAGGGAACCAAGGTGCTCGAGGTGGGAATGAAGGTGGTGACTTTTTTGTGGAAAACCTCATGGAAGAATTGGATCACCCAGGAGAGTTCTTCTTCGACCGGCGGACGAAGAAACTTTACTTTTACTACAATGGAACTGGATCCCCGCCCGAGGATGTTGTTGTGCCATTTGTTCAGGTTCTTGTGAATGTTTCGGGCACACAGTGGAATCCAGTGACATCTGTCAGAATGGAAGATTTGAAATTCACTGCAGCCGGTTCAACTTACATGATGCCTCATGCGGTTCCTTCAGCTGGTGATTGGGCTTTGGACCGCTACGCTGCTGTATTCATGCAAGGTACAGAGAACATACTCATTGAGAACTGCACCTTTGATCGTTTGGATGGAAACGCTGTGATGGTTTCTGGTTACAATCGAGATGCGACCATCCAAAGTTCAGACTTCTCCTACTTGGGAGGGAACGCAGTGGTGGCTTGGGGCTACACCAACGAGACGAGTGGAGATCCCGGTCGGCCCAACGTTGTCCTTGAAAATGCTCCTTTTGCAGGTGTGGATGGAACTGATGGGGAGCACCCGCAGAGGACTACTGTGCAGCATTGCATGGCCCGTGAGATTGGCTTGTACGAGAAGCAGTCCAGCTTCTTCATGCAAGCAAAAACAGCTGAATCCAGAATCCTTTCGAATGTCTTTTTCAACGGCCCTTGCCTTAGTTGTCCACAGAAAGTGTGGTGTCACTGTGTGTGTGTGTGTGGCAGATCCCCAAGCTGTGTAATGCAGCGTCATGGCTCACTGGGAGACTGACTCCATAGAAGCTTAAAGTGCTTGTGTTTGCTTCCGAAGCATGTGCACGTTCTTGCACTGTGGTTTCCTGTTTGTTTCCTGCTTTGGGCGATTGGAGTATACGCGCAGAAGTGTTATGATTTCTCAAGCCAGAGCTTCAGGGACTCTTTCCACTTGCTAGACTAGACACCTCTTCTTTGTTTTGTGTTGTGTTTTGGCAGATCCTTCCTCGCTTCAAACTTCTACACTTGGGTTGCCTGTTTGAATTGAGTCAACACCCTCTTAAACTTTTAAACACTGTGCCAAGCGGTCTTCAGCGCATGGTGTGAGATCTTGCAATGATGTTGGAAGAATGTGAAAGAAGGCTGGTTCAAGGTCTTGGAGTATTCTTGGAACATGCAAACACGCTTTCGCGGGAGAGGGATCAACAAAAACATTGGGATCAAACACAACATATATAAATAGGGCAAAACACAACAGAAAGAGAAGAACAGAAAAGAACAAGAAGAACAGACAAGCACAAAAAAAAGAGAAAAGAACAGCAAGACAAGACAAGACAATGAATGGTTTGTAAGGCTTGCTGCGCATAGTGCCAGGATCCGATTGTAATCTCTGGACTCGCTGAGGATGCGATGGAGGGAGGCGCTGTGCCCTCCCCCAAACCCCCTTCCAGCGCAACGAACTCTGCATCTAGCAAACTACTTGCGTAACCTGCTACTACGACTATAACTACTAGTATTACTACTACTGCTACTCGTACTACTGCTACTGCTACTCCTACTTCCACTCCCACTCCCACACCCACAACAACAACAACAACAACAACAACAACTACTACTACTACTACTACTATCTACTACTACTACTACTACATATACTACTACATATACTACATATACTACTACTACTACTACTACTACTACTACTACTACTACTACTACTACTACTACTACTACTAC